TCTGAACATAGAGATATAGATATAGAAATAATCTCAAATACTTTACCATCTCTTGCTTGGACGATTAAAACAGATTCATCACTGGTCTCCCTACCATCAACCCCTCTCCACCTTGGCCGTTGCCAGAGTTATCCACCTAAACAGCAGATCTTCTCTGCTTAAAGAGCTCTGCTTGTTGCCTATCACCTATAGGATAAGGGCCAACCCCTTAATATTGCTTATATGGAAGCCCTTCACAGTCTGGGCCCATTATCTGTCTCCAGCCTTACTCCTTGCTGTTTCTGCCTTGCTCCTTATCTCCAGTGCTGCTATTCCCTGGATTGGTCATGTCTGATCATGTCTCCCTACCTTTGTACATATGCTCAATCTCTTCTCTGGCAAATTTCTACCCATTCTTCAAGACCCTGCTCATCTATTGCCTCCTTTATAGAGGTGTTTTTGCTGCGTTTCCCAAGCAGAGGTTATGGCTCTCTCTTCTCTCTTTCTTCAGTACCTTAGTCACATCTTTTTTTTGGTTTATTTGCATGTCTCTCCCTTAGTTCCCTTTGAGTTTTATAAAAGCAAGACTCTTGTCTTACTCATCATTTTACGTGTGATACTCTGCCTAGCAAATAACAGGCATTCAGTAAATGTTCAGTAAATAGACATGTCTGTAGTTTAGATCTGCATGGCTATAAAGGCCTATCTAAGTTAAAGAAAGTAAAATTTTAGACCACATCATTTTTTGGAATTTTTAAGCCATTTTAACTTAATATTTTTATAAGTTTTACTTAATGATATCAATTTTGGCCTTTTAAAAAGGATGGTAGTACAATTCCAGCATGACCTATTTCTTAACTTATAAAATAACTCAGCTGTTAATGAAATAGTATACAACAATAAAAAATAGTGAGTTAGATCTATATAGAGACAGTAAGAGATATACAAGATATATTGTGAAGTAAAAGGTGAATTGCATAATGGTTTGATCCTATTTTTAAGAAAAATAGTAAGTTATGCTTAAAAAAGAAATCTAGACAAACATAAATCAGATTATCTTTATTTTCTTTATTCTTTTATTCTTCAACCTTGTAATATATTATTTTCTACTATGTAACTGCAGTGTTTGCATTTTTATACACTGAGCAGCATGTACTTTCATAAGCAGAAAAAAAGACCAAAACAAAACAAACCACCCTTCAGTTTTTAACCTTTCATATTCTTCAAAAGAAAGTTGTCTGGGTAGCAGAATTTTTTTGTCTTTGTTTTGTTTTGTTTTTGGTTTGCCCAGAGAGTTAGAAAATATCTTTAACTAAAAACTGAAAAATGAGTTTGAAGACATTTTAGCTATATATGTCAGATCAAGTCAGTTAAGTAATTTAGTGCCTACTGTGTGTAGTGTAATATGCGAGGTGCTGTAGTATTGAAGGATGTGGTTTCTATTGTGTAGTAACTGATAGCTTTTGCTGGATAGCAGAAATTCCTGAGTAGCAATTTGTGAAGGAGATAAAATAAGTAATAATTCTATAATTACCTATTTTAAATATGTTTTCCTTAAACTGGAAATTTTCCCTTATATTTTGGGGAATGTGTATTTTATTTCAATGTCTTATTAGAAACTGAAAAATAAGAATGGCTTTGTTTTAAAGCAAATTGGAAAGGACATTTGCTGGTAGGTAAGACATGATAATAAAAACTAAGAGCATACGGAAAATTTGTCTTAGTGGTTAAATAGCAAAGATTTTTTACTATAAAATCCTGAAGTATCATTTCCTAATAAGTGTACCATATGTGTTTGATTACTGTCTGAATTGTCACTTAGATTATTAAACAGTGAAAATATAGATACATAGTTGCTGTTCAAAAAGTATTTTATTGACCTACTAAGTTGATATTTTTTATAATATAAGTTTTACTGAATGATGTTAAATGAATATCTTCGCTTACCATTTGCTAAGTGGCTACCAAGATAGGTTTTAGTTTAAAGGCATCAGGGTTCTAAAACTCATTGAAAATAATTGGGGATATTTTGTCTCCTCTATCTGTAAAATGAAGCAGAATTTTAATAGAAAGGACTTGGTTTAAGTATTAAACAGTTTTCTTCCAAAAATGAGATACTGTTTTTATGATGGAGATTCCACTGTGATTGCTACATTTTCTTTGCTTCCTACTGAAGAAGCTCTTAGTGCACTTGCAAAGAGCATAAGGAGTCATGTCAGAGGTCAGCTATTTGAGTCCATTTTCCCACAGCCGCCTGGTGCGAGTGATCTTTTACTGTGTTTTAAAAAAATGGGCAAGGATTAGAGAGGATTAGAAAGAATATTATCCTCCTGAATATAGGCCCAAGGCACTAAGGGGAGAGAACCCAACCAGGCAGCAAATGGGCTTTGCTTGACCAGGACACAACCTCTGCTGCATTCCTGTAAGAAACTGAATGGGAAATGTTAAGTCCCCAAACTGGATTAGTAAATAATCTCATAGCTTGTGACATCTGCTAAAATAAATTGATGAGCAGATTGCATTCTTACACTTTGAGGAAAGAGCCAGAGACATCAAGACTAAGAGTAATTAATCTCTTTTATCTTTTTTTTAAAAAATTTCAGCCTTATTAGGGTATAGAAGAATAACTAAAGATGGGCATTAAGCTCACTAAGTGTCGGAAAGGCGTATTTCATAGACAAAAATAAAAAGTTACTTTAGATATATTAATATGATGAGTACAGATATATTGATTAATAACCTAAGGGTTAAATTTTGAAACTACAACCTTTTGTTTTTAAGAGTCTTCCTGCTTGTAGCAGTTTTACAAAGTGTTTCACAAATTCAACTCTTTAATTTATGTTGTTTATCTCATTAGTTTATGTAACAACCTGAGGAACTTAGAATTTGAAATGTGAGAATATATCTTTTGAGACACCTCTGGAATGTTTCTCTTTTGATATTAACAGAAATTAATGTGGTTTGGATCTTATGACTCATAATGTGGTACCAAATTATTTAGGACCAAAGAGGTTGTTTCAAATCTATTTTAGTAGGGGAAGTGTACTCTGGTCTCAGTCCTTGGAGCAAGTGTTTAGCTAACTAAATATTTTTTAAAGATTTTGTTTTATGTTGACCATTTTAATAGTAAAGATGATGTACAAGTGGTTAATTTTGCATCTTTCTTCATATAATTAGTACATTTGGTTAGTGTAATAACTGATTATACAGCTTTTGTTGTGGATTACAATATTAAGGCAAGTATTTTCTTCAAGAGTTTAAGATAGAATTGAATTTTATTTGTGACTAAGAATTGATAGGCTCTAACTTCTTCAACATGCATACTCACTAATCCCTTAAATGCATTTTGCATTATACTTTCTTGGCTCAGTGCCTTGGTAAAGTTGGCCCTGTACTTTGAATATATCCTCCTATTCTTCTCCGCCCACCCTCCCCCCCAATCTGCTCATCCCCCACATTCCATCCATCTTTATATATCAACTCAAATCCCAAATTCCAAGTGGTTTATTTTCAGCCCCTAAGTCATAATAAATACCTCCTAAACATAGAGTTACCATATGACCCAGAAATTCCACTCCTAGGTATATACCCAAGAGTGGTGAAAACACGTTCACATAAAAACTTGTACGTGAATGTTTATTGCAGCATTATTCATAATAGCCAAAAGATGAAAACAACCAAATGTCCATCAGATGATGGATGGATAAACAAATGTGTTATATCCGTACAATGGAATATTATTCAGCTATAAAAAGGAGTGAGGTACTGATATATTCTACAATATAGATGTACCTTGAAAACATTGTGGTAAGTGAAAGAAACCAGATACAAAAGACCATGTATTATGTGATTCTCTTTGTATGGAATATCCATAATAGGCAAATCTATAGACAAAAAGTAGATTAGTGGTTGATTAGGGCTTAAGGAGGATTGGGGAGTAGAGGGTGATAACTGAAGAGTGCAGGGTTTTCTTTTGAGGTGATGAAAGTGTTTTAAAATTGACTGCAGTGATAATTGCACCTATCTGTGAATATACTGAAAACCATTGAGTTGTATACTTTAAAGATTGGCACTTGAGCTAACAACTTGCCAACCTTTTTTTTTTTGCTTTTTTCTCCCCAAATCCCCTCCAGCAGATAGTTGTATACTTATAGTTGTGGGTCCTTCTAGTTGTGGCATGTGGGATGCCGCCTCAACATGGCCCGACGAGCGGCGCCATGTCCGCGCCCAGGATCCGAACCAGTGAAACCCTGGGCCGCTGAAGCTGAGCGAGTGAACTTAACCACTCGGCCACAGGGCCAGCCCCTGAGTTGTATACTTTAAATGGGTGAATTGTAAAATATGTGAGTTATATCTCATTGAAGCTGTTATAAAAGACTAAATTAAAAAAATTAATACTTCCTATCCATATTCTTATATACATTGTTTATAGCTCTCATAAAGCACTTAGCACATTCTGGTTGTCATTATTAACTTAAGAAATCTGTCATTCTCAGCACTTTAGAAAGCTCCAGAGAATAGAGTGTTTTTTGGTGCTCCCTGACAAGTATAGTGCTTTGCTCTCAGTAAATATTAATTTAATTGAACTTCTTCACAATTAGGTTGCTTCATCTGCAAAATGGAAATAAGAGAAAAAAAAGAATTGAATCTTACCATAAAGTGTTGTTCCAAAATTGTTCTTTATAATTTTTACACTTAATTCTTTTTGGAAAAATAACTGTTTGCTCTCACATTGTTTCCTCAGCTTGAGTTTTCATTTGGTATTTGGCAAGGTCACACATGAGCCATTTATCACTTTATTTTTACCTATAGGAATATTCTGCTCTTTGGAATTTGCATATATAAGCATGTTATATACATGTTATCAATAGGACCCTCTTGTCATTTCAACTAGCTTAATGTTTGTTTTTTAAATCAAATTGACTTTATAAAATTTGAATCTACATTTTTGTGGGCGTTTGAATTTAACATAATTTTTCTTTTTTCTGTGATGTGTCTATGTCTGTGTGTTATTTTTCTAGTATTTACTAGAGATGAAAAGTCTGATTTTGCCTCCAGAACACATTCTGAAACGGGGTGATAGTGAAGCAATTGCCTATGCTTTCTTTCATCTTCAGCATTGGAAGCGAATAGAAGGTGCCCTTAATCTATTACAATGTACATGGGAAGGCAGTAAGTATTCTTTCCAAAAGTAACACTAATCTCTTTGACTATCCATTGCATTCACAGGCAGTCTTTTTTTAATGAGATTGTCTGAGTTTCTGTAAGGATTTATTGTTCAGATTGGTTTCAAAGTAAACTCAATGATGTTATATTTTGATTATTGGTGGAAGAAATTCTTAATGTATTTATATGGATTCCACATTTAGGAAAAGCAGAATGAGAAACTTTTATGGTATTCTGCCATATGTTCATTTAAATTGCATATTTCTAAGGAAAGAAAATGAAAACTTACATCGTTGGTTTATAAGCATTTTAATGTGGTTGAGCTATTGTTCTAATATTTTTTAAATTGAACTGTTTTTGTTTTGTTATGTGTTATTTTCAGATGTGTACAACATGAAACTATTTTCCTCACAACTAATATTAATTCTATTCTTTTTTAAATCTTTTTTTTATTGTAGTAAAATATACATAACATGAAAATTATCATTTTAACCATTTTAAAATGTGCAGTTCGGTGGCATTATGTACAATCACAGTGTTGTGCAACTATCACCATTATCCATCCCCAGAACTTTTTCATCATCCCAAACTGAAATTCTATACGCATTAACAGTAACTCCTCAGTCTTCCCTCCTCCCAGCCCCTGGTAAGCATTCTGCTTTCTGTCTCTATGAGTTTGCCTGCTCTAGGCATCTCATATAGTGGAATCATATAATCAGTGGATATTTGGGTTGTTTCCACCTTTTGGCTGTTGTGAATAATGCTGCTGTGAACGTGGGTATACAAAAGCTCCTGCTTTCAATTCTTTTGGTCATATACGTGGAAATGGAATTTCTAGATCATATAATTCTGTTTAATTTTTTGAGGAACTGCCATACTAAATTTTATAACAGCTGCACCATGTTGCATTCTACCAGCAGTCCACAAGGGTTTTACTTTCTCTGTGTCCTCACCAACACTTGTCATTTTCTGGTTTTTTGATAATAGTCATCTTAATGAGTGTTAAGTGGTATCTCATTGTGGTTTTGATTTGCATTTCCCTAATAATGAATGATGTTGAACATCTTTTTATTTGCTAATTGACCATTTGTATACCTTCTTTGGAGAACTGGACTGTTTTTCAATTTACTACTAGGTCTCTTATTTGTAATTTCCTAAAATCACTAAGATAATGAAGAAGCTTAACCAAAATATTTTATCAGTTGAATTTTTATAACAGTTCTCTTGGAAAGTATACCTCTGCTACCAATAAAAATTCAAAAGTAAATTCAATGCTCATTCACTAAAATTGGTTAATCCCCTCAGTTCCTAAACTTTGTACTGAGGCATCTTCGGGCACTACAGTACATTTACACAAGTACCACAGCATATTTTAAATTTTCAGTGGAAACACAGCAATATTCAACATCTGTCAGACGCCCATTCAAACTGTTAGCTCTAGATAGTTAATGGTTTCACCATTAGGTGTCTCTCCATTCTCTATTTCTTTCAGTGTTGTCATAGCTTCACAAAGCTGGGTTTTTGTTAGTTTCTGTGCTTAAAAGAAGTACCACACAAAATCATTGTGGAACAGGAAATGAGGATACTGGTAGTCAATCTGATTCCAAGTTTTGAGAAGTTATGCAGTGCCCAGCAGGCTCATACATCACATTAATAAGAAATGATGGTTATTTAAAAATGAAATAATTATTTTTTCCTTTAATTTATGTCTATCATTTTTTCGAATAACTGCTAAGTTGCTAGAACATAAGCTCTTAAAGTTGTTTGGACCCACTACTTAATAAGTGGAATTGTTAGATATTTATTTCATCATAGGGGCATCATAAAAAATTACTGAGACACGAAGGGCACCATGTGTCCTTGAACCAAGAAAATTTGGGAACCTCTACATTAACCATTTGCTAAGGGTCAGACACTGTGCTTGACACTGACAATTTACAGATTAATGAAACTGGGACTACTAAAACTGAGGAGCTCAACGTCTTTGGGTAATTAGACTTTCTTTTGCTTTTTCTCAGTACTATGAGCTCCTCAAAACTCTATCTCATTTATCTTGTATATGTCTTTAATCCTAGTGTTCTGCTTGGCACACAGGAGGTTTTTAATAAGTGTATGACATACTGTATTTCATAAATAGTCATCTTGATGGAGGCCGGCCCTGTGGCTGGGTGGTAAAGTTTGTGCACTCGACTTCAGCGGCCCAGGGTTTTGCTGGTTTGGATCCTGGGCACGGACATGGCACCGCTCATCAGGCCATGCTGAGACGGCGGCATCCCACATACCATAACTAGAAGGAACCACAACTAAAATATACAACTAGGTATTGGGGGGATTGGGGGAGAAAAAGGAAAAGAAAAAAGAAAAAAGAAGATTGGCAACAGTTGTTAGCTCAGGTGCCAATCTTTAAAAAAAAAAATCATGGTGATGAATGATTTCCTAGTGTTACCACTGATTTGCTCTGTGACTTTGGAAAAATTACTAGTTTTTATTGTGGCAAAACAAAATTCATATTTTTACCAAAGTTTATAGAGTTAAGCACTAAAAGAAAAACAAAAACCGTATCACAATTTTGCTGAGTTTTTAGCTAGCTGAGTAGATCGAAAAGGATTCCTTCTTTAAGAGTCTACAAGAGTTGGTGATAATCTACATCAGGGATGGGTAAGTTTTTTCTGTAAAGGGCCAGATAGTAAATATTTAATCCTTGCATGCCGTAGTCTCTGTCACAACTACCCCACTCTTGTATCCTGAAAGCAGCCTTACATAATATATAAATGAACAAGTATGGCTGTATTCTAATAAAATATTATATTAGTTTTGAGGAAGATTAGCCCTGAGGCGAACATCTGCCGCCAATCCTCCTCTTTTCGCTGAGGAAGACTGGCCCTGAGCTAACATCTGTGCCCATCTTCCTCTACTTTATATGTGGGACGCCTGCCACAGCATGGCTTGACAAATGGTATGTAGGTCTACACCCAGGATCTGAACCAGTGAACCCCAGGCTGCCAAAGCAGAACGTGCGAACTTAACCGCTGTGCCACTGGGCTGGCCCCTCTAATATTATTTACAAAAACAGTGGGCCAGGTCTGGTCAGAGGGCTATACTTTGGTGACCCCTGATCTAAATTAAACTTTCCTCATAGAAAACTTTGCTGGCATCTCACATGTGAAGCTACCCATTGAGAACTCTTTTAGGTTGCCAACGGTTATAGCCACAACAGTTATACATGTTGCAATTTTATGAATATTCTTATAAGAAGTGGAATTCATACCTACAAAGTTAAGTCTCTTGTGTTTATAATGAGGAGACTAAGGCAAGAAAGACCCAGCCAGTCTTATTATCCACTATTCCCTTTAGTTTTATTCCAGCCAGACCATTCATTATTCTCTAAATAAATCTTATTCTTCCCCTTAGTTCTTCTTTTGCTTTCTTTCATCTAAAATGTGTCTCTAAAAAAGAAAATAAAATGCTATGTGAAAATTTTGTAAAAATATGTCTCCAAAATAGCTTTGATCTATAGTATAGGATGAAAATGAATCTGAGTTGAATGCCAACATATGTATTTTTTTTCTCAGCTTTTAGAATGATTCCATACCCACTAGAGAAAGGCCACCTATTTTACCCTTATCCCAGCTGCACAGAGACTGCTGATAGAGAGCTGTTACCTAGTAAGTAAATATTCTAGTTTTCTTAAACTTAAAAGTAGTTGTGAGATTGTTTTTCATAGTATTCTCCCATTTTAAAAGTGCCTTTAGTTGAAATTTAGGATACTCTTTGAATACTATTTTAGCCATTTCTTGCATGTAGTTGCATAATCATTTCATTCCCAGATATTTTTTGGGTAAAACCCTATGCTAGATGCAATGAAGGACACCAAGATTAAAGATTTAAAAAGAGAAGTCATCTTATAAACCTTAAAGAAGAAATAATACCAATCTTTCACAAATTCTTTTCAGAAAATAAAGAAGGAAGGAACACTCCCCAACTCATTCTGTGAGACCAATTTACCCTGATACCAAAACCAAATACATTATAAGAAAAGGAAACTATAGAATGACATCCCTCATGAATATAGATACAGACATCTTCAACAGAATATTAGCAAACTAGATCCAGCAACATATAAAAAGGATTATACTCCATGACCAAGTGGGATTTACCTCACAAATGCAAGGTTGGTTTAACATCTGAAAATGTAATGCACCATGTTAATAGAATAAAGGACAATAGCTGCAGAAAAAGCATTTGACAAAAATCCAATGCACATTCATGATAAAAATTCTGAATAAACTAGGGATAAAAGGGAACTTCCTCAACCTAATAAAGAATAGCTACAAAAAACCCACAGCTAACATCATACTTAATGGTGAAAGACTGAATGCTTTCTCCGTAAGATCAGGAATAAGGCAAGGATGTCAGCTCTCATCACTTATATTCAGCATTGTGCTAGAGGTTCTAGTCAGTGCAGTCAAGCAAGAAAAAAAAATAAAAGGCACTCTTATTGGAAAGGAAGTAAAACTCTTTATTCACAGAAGACATAATCTTCTATGTAGGAAATCCATATAAACACTATTAGAACTAATATACAAGTTCAGCAAGGTTGCAGAATATAATATCAACTTACAAAAGTCAATGGCATATTTAAATACCAGCAATGAACAATCCAAAAATGAAATTTAGAAAATGATTCCAATCATATAGCATCAAAAAGAATAAACAATTTAGGAATAAATTTAACAAAAGAAGTGTGAGACTTCTACATGAAAAACTACAAAATATTGCTGAGAGGAATTAAAATCTAAAGGAGAGACCTTCCATGTTTATGGGTTGGAAGACATAATATTATTTAAATGGCATTTATCTCCAAATTGATCTATAAATTCAATGCAATCCTTATCAAAATCTCAGCAAGGATTTTGCAGAAATTGACAAGCTGACCCCAAAATTTATGTGGAAAGGTAAAGGACCCAGAATAGCCACAACAGTCTTTATAAAGAGAACAAAATAGGAGAGACTACACTTCTCAATTTTAAAAAAAGCAATCAGAGTCAGGAGGAGAACCAGAAATATGTAGGGTTATGATTGCTGAGAGTGTTTCCGTCTAGTCGCTGCTTTCAGGAAGCCAAACTTCTCAAAAGAAGAGTCTGTACCTTTTGTCTCAGCTGCCTTGGCATCCACTCACTCTTTTTCTCTGTGAACTGATAAATTTCTCTTTAACTTTTCTTTTTATGATTTAACCAATAAGTTATGATTTAATCAGTGGCTGGCCCGGTGGCGCAGCAGTAAAGTGCGCACTTTCCGCTTCGGTGGCCCAGGGTTCGCCGGTTCACATCCTGGGTGCGGACATGGCACTGCGTGGCACGTCATGCTGTGGCAGGCGTCCCACATATAAAGTAGAGGAAGATGGGCACGGATGTTAGCTCAGGGCCAGTCTTCCTCAGCAAAAAGTGGAGGATTGGCAGCAGTTAGCTCAGGGCAAATCTTCCTTAAAAAAAATCAATAAATAAAATAAATAAAAAGTTATGATTTAATCAATAAGGTTATAAACGCTAGCACCATGTTTCCTTATATGATATAAACGTGCCAAAATTTTTACAGTTCTGGGACCATTAGAACTAAATTCTGGGAAGGAAAGTTACAGTTTTACAGTCATCAAACTTAATGAGCTGAAAGTTGAAACAGAGAGATGAAAATTTAGGAGAGATTATGGAAGTTGAGTAGGCTGATATTTTTCTCCCAGGGTCTTTTATTTTCCTCCATCCTCTGAGATAAGTTATCTTTTCTTTCTCTGAACTCTCAAAGTGCTTTGTGTACTTAATCTCCCCCTTCTAGATTATAAACTTGATGGCCAAGATTCTCTTCATTGTCCCTCTATGTATCTCTATAATGTTCACCATAAAAATTGATATTTAATAAATATTGTTTGAATTAGTCAAATTTATTAATTTATTCTTATAAACATGCCAGGTACGTTGTAAGTACTCAACAAAAATGTTAAATGTTAGTATCTTTTTCTCCTTATCCTACTCCAAACTCCTAAGCTGCTCACAGGTTAATAGAAAAACTGATAAACAATGTGTTAAATATGTATGGAATAGATTATAAGGAAGCTCGAGTTGGGAGTGCCTATCTCTCCAAGGTCAGAGATGATTCCCAAATATGACGTGGGTGGCTTGAAGAATGGTAAATCTATCACGCGCAGGAGGAGCAGGTTCGGGGATAGGAGTAGGGGAAGTAAATAAGTTCAGGCTTTGCGTATGTTGCATGTATGACATCTCACCCATTGTTGTTAAAAAACAATCCAGTTAAGTAAATTTGAAGATCTAATGGGCTTTATTCAATGATTCATGAATCGGGCAGCATCCCATCTAGCTCTGAGGAGCTGTACAAAACAGGAAGCTTTTATAGGCAGGAGGGAGAAAAGAATGGATTGTTTCAGGCAAGGTCACCTTCCTTTAGGAGACAAAAGAGGTCTGTCAGGCAGATTGCCTCACTAGTGCTGACTAGGAAATTCCAAACTGACTGGTTAAGATTACATTCCTGGAGAAGGTTGAAATTGCAAGTAGGTTACATATTAAGTCTCTGTTTGGTGATATGGGCTTAGCACAAGTGACTCCATTTTGGGCCTGTTGTCTCTTTTTTTAACAGTGTATGTACATATATATATGTATATATTTTTATATATATAAATATGCTTAAATATTACATAATCTACTTAACACATATATATATACACACATAGGCTTTATATTTTATATCCCTAAATAGTATATGTCTAAGATATATTTGTAAGTAATATAATGTGTTTATATTAAAAATATATGTATTGTATAAATAGTAAATATTGTAGATATTCTTTGGGTATAAATAATAGAGAGCTGCTTCAAAGTAGCTTAAAAATAAAGGAAATTTGTTGGAAGAAGACTAGTTTATCTCAAAGAACCCAAAGGCAATAATTACAGTTGGATCTCAGAAGGGTCTAGAACCAGGAACTAGAAGGCTATCAGGATTTCCAGGAGTCAGTAATCTGTATATCTCTATCTCAGGCTGCCTTTTTCAGTTTCTCCTATTCTCACTTTGTTTTTCTCCTTCCCCAACTCCATCTTCTCTTTGTACGAGCTCTGATTTCTGCTTGTCTCAGTGTATTTGTTTCATTTTTATCCTTCTGTCTTTGCAGTTTGGCTTTCCCTTCTTGGACGCTCAGGTAGCCAAATTTGATGCCCCTGTACAGCTCTGAGTTTACATGTCATCAGTGCAGGCAAAGAATACAAACTGAATGATATCTCAACACCACTTCTAAAACTTCGGGGAGAAAGAATCAGATTTACTCAGGTGTTCATCCCTGGTCCAGTCAGCCATGGCCTAGGGACAGGATTACATTGTGTGAACAAAATTGCCAGGAGTCCTGCTATCTCTTTCTCTCTACATCACAAAACTGACTTGGGAGTCATCTGTTTTTAGACATGAATGAGATCACTAAGGGAAACTGTATAGAGTGAGAAGTGAACTAAGGGTGGAACCATGGGGGCACAAAAATGTCTAAGGAATGGGTGGCTGATAAGGAGTCTGGAAGATTCTGTGAAGGAGTCGTCAGAGAGACAGGACAAGAACCAGAACTAGATATCCTAGAAACGAAAAGGAGGAAAAAATTTCCAAGTGAGGAGGAGTATCTGAGATATTAAGTAAGGTAATTACTGAGAAGAATCCATTGACTTTGGCAATTAGAAAGTCATTAGTGAGAGAAATTTTCTTTTCTTTTCTCAGATGGTGGTGGTAGTCATCGTTCTTGTTGTTTTTCCATTTTAACAGGAACAAAGATATTTAAGGCAAAAGAACAAATTATTTAATTATGGAACATCAGTATGCAAGAGTGTGTTATATTAGGATAATACATTTAGTCTAAAATAATGCCCCCTAAATTATTACAAAGGTTGCCTGATATAAGGCCAACTTTACACAACAATATGAATAAAATCAGGATTATTGTCATGCATCATCAGAGCCATAGGCTATAAGAACAGACAGTTTTCTTTTTGGCAGGCCTTTATTATTCTTAGGTTGCTACTCATTTGCAAATTCCAGGACATAGGAGAGGAGGGATGTGCTGGGGGGTTTTGTTTGATTATATTGTATGTTCTTGGAGTATTTTTTCTTTCTCTGACTGTGGTAAAATGAACAAATTTTTAGTAATGTGGAATTCTAATACCCGAGAGTACTTAATGTTTTTTGTTTTCAAGTCTCCTTCAACCCTGATATGAGTTACAGCATTCTAGAATTTACTTATTAACCACATAAGTTCAGACTTGAACTATTCCCTTAGTTCACGTAGCTATTTAGTTGTCTTTTTTGCCTCATGATAAATTTTTTCTCTACAAGCTAGTGATGAAATTTGAACTTTTACTTCAGGGAGTGTTTCCGTACTAGCCATCCATTATATTAATGTATTAGCCAAACATTGACTGACAAACACATCTACAGAAAGCAATACCAGAAAGGAATAATTAGGTCTCCCCTTTAGTATAAAAATCTCATATTTTAGGAAATTATCTTACTAAAAGCTATACAGTTTTCTACCTTATAAAGTGGGAATAATACTATTTCTTAGGGTTATTGAAAAAATCAAACAAACTAATATAAATTAAAGCTCTTTGTAAACCATAAAATGCTATATACTTTAATTAATATTATTAATTTTGCAGTCTCTCATACAATAGCAATTATAGTAACCATTGGTATACGTAAGTATTTGTTCCCTGTCTTCATAAATACCATAGTTTGTTTCCCTTGGTTTGCTGGAAGAAGTTGGCCTCTCGTGGCTGACGGATAGGGCAAAAGGGACTGCTGGTTTTTTGGGTGCTGAAAGCACACCGTTGTCCACAGCTTCTAATGTTTCTAACTTTTTAAAAAAAATTCAGACTTGGTGTGCTTTTGCTTTAAACATGACTCAAGGCTCTGGAAATTTTATGAATTTTTAATGAGTTTGGTTTTTAGTATATACTCTCCGAATATAGTATAAGACACAAAAATATTATGGCTACTGAAGGAAACTTAGGTGTAATCTTAGGTGAATCATTATATTTAAAAAAGTGAAATTTACAGCTGACCTTGATTCAGCACGGAATTAGTCATCCCTTACTTATGCAGGGTATTACATCAAGAATTCCTGGTTTGTGTCCAGACCTGAGTGGTCAACTTCCTGGACTGATGAGGTCCCAGAATAGCTCTCAGTTTACCAGACATTTATTGAGCACCTACTGTATGCCAAACATTGTAATAGGCTTATCTCAGCATTGTTATTCAAGTATTTTCAAATTTCAAATAAGCTGTAAATACTTGAATACCATTGGTAATGAAATATCTAATCATTAGAAGAATAATGATTACTTGAGTAAATATCCGAATGTGGTAAATAAGACAAGGGACTTCATTTATGTACAGAATCCTAGGGCTTTGATATTCTAGTTTGATTTTTACAGTGCTCGATGAAATGCCACATATAGAACCTTGTTAATAACTGGGTAAATTTATTAACTGATGGTTCTGGGAAGTCTCCAACCACATATCTGTCTCTTGATCTCTATATTCATCTCTTAGCTCTCCAAAGAGCAAGAATTATAACAACTTACATTTATTAAGGGCTTACAACGTTCATCATAACAATTCCATAGCAACTACTAGAGGGTTCAGCAACTTCTTCAAGATCACACAGCTAATAAGTGACAAAGCTCTTTTTCAAAACCACCTCAGCATGACTTTACAATTAATATTCTTTCCCACGATGCTGTCCTATTCCCGGTCCCCAGCACAGTCATCTGACTATGTAGATATGCTATCGATGCTGGAATAGATAAGGGATAACTTTCTTCTACCTTGCTTGGCCAGAGACTTCTTGTTCTTTTTTAAAAAATTATTTTCCTTTTTGGTTTTTAAAAATAGATTTCATTTGGAAATACTAAAACTGGCTTGTTTATACTGTATTCTGAAATAAAATCCATTTCTACCTTTTCTCCCTTGCAGCCTTTCATCATGTTTCTGTTTACCCAAAGAAGGAGCTTCCTTTTTTCATTCATTTCACAGCAGGACTGTGTTCTTCCACAGCAATGATAGCTCTTCTCACACACCAGTTTCCTGAAATCATGGGTGTTTTTGCTAAAGCTGTAAGTATGATCTCAAGGACTTGTGTAGAGTATTTGTAAAACACACAAGAAACCATCTTTGATCTGTATCTGGCAATCCAGTTTATCAGTGGAAGATATTTGTCATAGTAAATTACAGGAATTGATTTGTAAAGTTGCTGCCATAAATATGTCAAATATAAATTTTTCAGTGATTTGAGCTATTTTTTTGTTGCTTAAAAGTTTAAAGAATACAATGGCATAACATTATAAAATTGATCTTTGGAGATCACTTTTGGTGGTAAACATAGCAATTATTTCCTGCTAAAGAATAATCCAACACTTCTAAATGCATTTTCTTTGGCATTTAAAACATTTCCCTATTTTATAACAAGCTGTTTGATTTTTCTGTTTAAATGAAATTGTTAGTTCTAAGGATTTGCTGAACTTTAAAGTCAAGAGTGCAACTAGAATGGAGAATAGGTAGGTAAGATGAGACAGATGGGACATTTGCCCTGGATACAGGATGTGCCGCCCTGTTACTGTATCTGCATGTCCTTATTGACTTTCCCCAACATTGGTTTTAGAACCATGTATAGAGCTTTATTTTCATTTTTACCCTTTAGTTTTGAAGTGCTTCCCCATTTCCTGACCCAGGTCCAGGAAGTACTTGAGGACTGATATTAAAAAGGGTATCCCATGATTATTTACTCTTCTACATGAACATAATTAATGTCATTGGCTCAAAGTAAAATTCCCAGAGATAGGTCCCTTTAAGTCTCCAAACCTTTTAAAAAATGTGTCTTTCTTGTACATCTTTGCATTTTTAACAGGTAATAAGAGTTCAAACCCAAAAAGAAAATGCTGATTTATTATATTGTCAAATAGAAAAGCACTGAGAACGTAGAAACACTAGCCCTTACTTGGTAATGTAATTTCTATGTTCTTCTCTATATGCCTCCATTCCAACTCCCTGTTTCCTCACAATTTCTTTTCCTGCCTTAAGAATAGTTTATTTTGTGCCTTAATGATTAGTTGGTTTTCTTCTGGCACCAGTAGTAAGAGCACTGGTTTCCCTTTTTCCCTGAAGGTCAACTGTATAATGTGTTAAGTTGCCACTGGCTGTAGGCCTAGGAGTCTGAGACTGCACTTGATTCTGGGTCAAGCTTCAAGAAGAATGACTTTCCACTGTTGTTCAGGGAGTATAGATATTTGGGTTGGAAACTGACTGTTCTGTTTCTTTTTAGTGTAAAAAGGAAGCTTAGTGATCATACTATAACTCTGTTATTTGCAGTGGTACTGACTGGGGAGTGAGTGTGTCTCAGACTGAAATAACCTTACTGTGTAATCTGGCATAGAAAAAAAATTGACTAGAAGGGGAATCCTGTCCATTTAACAACTGGAAAAAAAATGCAGCTGTGTATTTGAGATCAGTCAAGCAATGAGAGAGATGGCCCTTGGGTAGTGAGAAGAAGGTGAAATGGAACAAGGAGGGATATTTAGAATCTGGAATAGGTATGTATTGATTGTTAGTAGTGTACTTCCATGAAGTATTGGCTAAAATTAATATGGAGTGTACTCACTATCTGCTCTATCCATCATCATTGGTATATAGTGTCTGCCTTTACCTGAAAGATTACAGATGAACCAGAAGAGCCTTTAAGATTATATAGCACAAGCTCCTTAGCATTCCTGTAGCAGAGTCTGAGAATGAATACTTATGCATTTTAAAGTGGAAACTTCTTTTTTAGACCAAAAGTTATTAATTTACTGTGATTCTAGTTGATGAACAATAAACAGGCATTTATTTACTATCTTTTGATGTTTGTATAGTTGGTGGTATATAGTATTAAAATGTTAAAAAGACAGCAAACTGTTACAGCCACATTTTATCCTTGTGGCCTTTATGTGTGCATTTTAAGTTCCTAAAGCTAAGTATTTACTAAAAGTACCTGCACACCAATATTTGGTATGCAGCAGTTCCAAGGGCAGGTTCCATTTAAGAATTAATGAAAAATGATTACAGTATGGACAGTCTCCAGCTTATACACACAATGTATAAATGCCTCAACAGACAGATAGCCAGCAAGGGAACTAGAGGACCAAATACCACTTATTCCCCACTTAGTAAAGTGTGGTCTATGGACTAGGAGCATCACCATCACCCAGGAGTTTGTTAGGAATGCAGAACCTCAGGCACCACTCCAGACCTCCTGAATCTGCATTTTTAACAAAATTCCCCGGAAATTCTATATGCACATTTAAAACTTGAGAAGCCCTGCTCTACTCTACCCCCAATAAGAGGAATTTAGAATGCCAGGTGCCACTTCTTCGAGGTGGAGAAGGGGCAGCATTGCAGAGTACTTATGATCATAGGTTCTGGAGCCAAATGCTTTGCTTTGAATTCCAGCCCTGACACTTTAATGGCTGTGCAATCTCGGGTAAGTTACTTAACCTTTTCTCCCCCTCATTGTAAAATGAGAATAGTACTACCTCATAGATTTTTGTGAGGGTTAAATGAGTTTAAAATATGTCAAGTGTTTAGAACCGTATCTGCCCATAGTAAAAACTAGGTGAGTGTTAGCTGTTGTCGGCACCGTCATTGTCATCATCACCAAAGTGCAGGTATAGCGGGAAACCCTACCCTCTTCATGTTTGGAAGAGCTATGTCCTGATAGTAAACTCAAAATGCATTTTCCCATAGAAACTGTGGTATAAATGGTGGTTGAGTGTCATTTAACCAATACTAGTAGTGCTATGCTTCTGGTACATCATGTGTTGTGAACCACAGAAAGTGGAGAAATGGTTCAAATTCTAGGCACTGCCAAACTACATTTTAGAACAGAACCTATTTGTAAGTTACAAACTGCCTATGTTAGGATTTTCAATTAAGTCAGATATTTGATGGTCAAATACAGTAGAAATCAATGAGAAATCTTGGAAACATACTTGTTCTTTTATTTAGAAAGGCAAAACAATTTAAGAAAATATCCTAAATTTCTACCATTGTTACCATTGTCTCTTCTTCATCTAATATCTTTTTTGTGTTAGCTCACAAGTTAGAGTGAATTCAATTTGAATTTGTTAAAATGGATTTGTTACAAAAGTTTCTTGTTTGTGAAGAGGCACTAGGGATTAAATGATTTTTAGTAATCTTTACTACATCAGATTTAAGTAAATGGAAGGGAACGAACTAGAACGGTTAGTGGTTTTAGTGCCCCTTCTCCTTTTGCATGGTATAAAGCTATGTAGAATAAGACTTCATTTTCAGCAAGTTAGGACTTTTTTTTCCTGATTTTTCTCCTGGCTGAGATGAAAACCTAGTCTGACATGAGACATAAAGCAATGAAAAAAAAATTACATAAATCCCTGGAGAGGTGGAATGTGCTGATATCAGAACTGATATTCTCCAAGGCCAGAATTCCTGAAAAAGAAAACATTGCTTTTAAGTGGTAGGTCATTTTCTCACCTGCTTTGAAGCCTGCTGGGTTAAATATGAGAGTTCAAAGTAAGGGTAGCCAGCAAACCAAATGAACTGGAATCTGATTCTGCTTATCTGAAAGGAGCTTCTTTATTTAAGAGCAACACTGCCCTGTCCTTAGAGAACCAATCTTCATCTTCTCTGGCCCCTTTCATTTCTCTCTTGCAAGAAAAGCTTTCTTCTTAGTAAGCCTTGGGAAGGCATTATCACAACAGTGAAAAGACTAAAGATGGTCTTTGGAGATTTCACTAACTTACTGATGAATTCAGGCTTGTGGCACGTGACCTTAGTGCTTTGAATTCAGAAGTGTATTGGAATATAAAAATCCCTAGTTGGGTTTTAACTAAAAAGGACACAGCTTGCAATGTTGGCAGAAGAAGGTGGTACTGGTAAAGACGGAAATCAAAAAGATTCCCAAATAAATTGTTTGTTTCACTAAGGCAAAACTTTGTTGAAATTTGTTTCACTGAAAGCATATTTTAGCTCTGCTGAGGTGGGAATGGGCCCTGTTTCCACATATTTCTACTAATCTTTATCTGGGAAAATGTGGTTGGACATGCCAGTGATGAATTTCTGAGCAATTCATAATTGGCTCACTTCACTGTAACTAGGGCCTAACAATCTGCTTGATTAATTCTTTAAGGACTACATTAGCCAAGTTGTATGATTTCCAAAGATATAGAAGGTCAGATGTTACACTAACAAAAGACCTCTCTACAGAATGTCTCACTGGGATTTCTCCAGCCCCTTCCCAAAAATAATTAGCATTTTTCTCATCAAATTACATTTTTAAAAATAATAAGTAGATATAAATGCCAACTGTCTTTTACTGAATAGTGATCAAAACTTTTGAGAAGATTTTTCCACTTTTCTCATCATTTTTTCCAGGGCAAAGATCATCTTCATAACTAGGGGAGTTGATAGACAGTTATAACTATATATTGATATACACCAGTAGAAAAAATATTCTTTTTAAAGGTTCCTGATTTTCTATTGTCATAACTAGTGAAATGAACCTGTTTATAGGTGAAAGTTTTTTTGATATTCTCCATCTGACTTCATTAATACTAAAAACCTATGATATTTGTATTACTCTTTATTAAATACATAGGGCCACATTCAGAAATTAAACTGACAATTAAAATAAGTTTCTTCAAAATGGATTCTTTTTCAAAGCTGTGAGACTTCTTTAGTTCCTGAGAAGTGAGAGAGTTTTTAAAACATTTTGAATTGTAACTGAGCTTATATTCCTGTAAAATATTGTTCTGTAACCATGCTATTTACACAGTAATAAAGCTGAGGTATTTCCCAGAGACTGTACTGATAATAAAATGAGACTATTAGGTGACAGGTCAAAATTTTTAAATGTTTACATTTTTGTTCCCTTGTTTGTGCTGCTGAAGTCTTTATTTGGGCAGTCTAGCATATCCCAATTTTGCTTTTCTTAATTAACTGGGATATTTGTAGCAAGAGAAAAGATGTTCTCTACTTCCTATAAGGGTATTTCTCATCCTTCATCCTCGTTGTTTTCCTTCAAAAAGAACTAGACTGAGAAATTTGT